GTGTGCCACCACTGCCCAGCTGTGATTCTTTTTATAGAGATGAAATTATGAGTTAGAATGATATTTTCCTATGAAAATGCAATCACGGGCAAATAAAAATATGATTTCTGAGCTTTACTTTAAAATAACTCGGAGAGGGGCTGGAGAGCAGGCTCAGTGGTTGAGAGCACTCGCTGCTCATCCAGAACCTCCAGGTTCAGTTCCCAGCATCAGTACCAGGTGACTCATAACTGCAAGTAACTCCAGCTCCAGGGTATATCACACCCTCTTCTTGCATCTTGGAGTATTACATGTATGTACACACCCACTCACCCCCCCACACACACACACTAAAAAAAACACATCTTTAAAATGACCTAAGGAGGGGAAGTGGGATAAAAATTAAAACATGATTATTAATGGATAGACAATTGTTGAAATAGAATGCTGGGTACATAGCTGGGTTTTTGTTTATTGTCCTTTGCTTTTCGAGACAAGGGTTTCACTGTGTAGCCCAGGATGTCTTGGAACTTGCTTTTTAGACAAGGCTGGCCTCGAACTCACAGAGATCTTGCCTGCCTCTGCCTTTAAAGTGCTGGAATTAAAGGCTTGCTCCACCACTACCCACACAGCTGGTTTTAAGATAGAATTTTTCACTATACAGTCATCCCTCAATATCCATGGAGATTAATTTTATCATCTACTTATAAACCAAATCTGTAGATGCTCAAGTCTTTTATATAAAATGGCACAGTCATAATATATACATGTATTGAATTGTGTTTTTATGTATGTTAAATATTTTTATTTATTTTGATGCCCCCTTTTTTGGAAAGAGTCTCACTAGGTAATCCAGGCTAGCCTCATGAGTACTGGAGATCCGAACTCAGTTCCTCATGCTTGCATACCAAGCACTTTACTGGTCGAGCTATCTCCTCACTTCCCTAGCAAAATATTCTTCTCACATGTTTCTTACAAGATTGTGTTTAAATATTGAGTCTGGCGTGGCATACATGCTTTATCCAAAGATGTGTATTCTCAAAAACATACAAAACTATAAACAAAATTGATTTTAAATGTGGTTTGATAATTTCAAACACGTTCTGAGCAAATTTACACGCAGTTTAAAAATCACTTGCCTAAAAGGTCTAGGTAGAGTCATAGAAGTGTGTACTCTTGTTGGCTTTCAGCCTTCAGAAACATCTTAACAGTCTTTCCTCCTGTGTGATGGATACGCTTTGCTGCTCCAGGGTATGCATTTGACAAAGTAATGCACACTACATGCTGGGAACTAGGTTAGAGACCAGTGTAACTGCCTGGAACCCTTGACTGTCCCTTGGAGACTAACTATAGAAAGTAACTGCTCCTTTTATCTCTAGACACGCAGTCACTGCTGGTGTGACGTCTTTCTCCTTTTACTTGCACGTAGCCTTCCTTCTTTCCTCTAGCTCAAAAGGAACAAGAACAAGGACAGCAGTACAGAGGAAAGCAGCCAGCTCCTAGCCACCGGATAGCAGCAGTGTGCTTGAAGAGGGAGAGGAGGCTGAGATCACATCCTTTGCCTCCTTGCTTTGGCACTGGGTGGGTGGGGCTTATGATACCAGTATTCTGCATGTGTATTTCTACCTTTTCTTTTCATCTAAATCTCTTCTTTGGAAGAAGAGGTCAAGTCTGTAGTGAAATACATCTGGAGTATCTCCCAACTTTTATTTTGTGCCCGCCCTTGCTCACCAGTCAAGACCAAACTGTTGAGAGCTATTTCTTCCATCAGAGGCAGAAAGTATAACGTGGTAAAGACCTTCCTGTGAAACGGTTTGCTGCATCTTTCCCTGGTTCTTTGTTTTATAAAATACAAACGTTAAGGTAAAAAGTCACACAAAATGAAACTTCTCTAAGTGAAAATTGCAGTAGCATTTAGAATGTTCACAGTTTTGTATAACTGTCACCTCTGTTTAGTTCCAAAATATTCCATCACCTCAAAAACAAACTCCTACCTAGTAAGGGGCCAGTTGCTCTTTTCCTTTTCACTCACACCCTAGCAACCATCAGTCTGCCTTCTGTTTCCGTAGTTTCCTATTGTCAGTACTATATGTGATTCACTTGTCTTTCTATAAGACAATGCCTTTTACTTTACAGTAGATGAGAAACTCCTCTATGCTGTTTCAGTTATGACATGTAGATGATGTTAGGGTGGTCTTTGGTAGTCATTCTGAGCAAGATTGTTTTACATTCTTCTTTTTTTTTTTTTACAAGACAGGGTTTTTCTGTATTGTTTTGGAGGCTGTCAGTCCAGCCCGGCCTCGAACTCACAGAGATCCGCCTGCCTCTGCCTCCCGAGTGCTGGGATTAAAGGCGTGCACCACACTGCCCGGCTCATTCTTCTTATTTTTATGCATAGGTATGCATGTGCACCTGTGTCAGTGAGATGGCAAGTTCTACAACTTTCTGGAAGTCAGTTCTATCTATCATTCCACCATGGGTTCCAAGGATCATACCCAGGTCCCCAGGCTTGTATGGCAAGCACCTTTTCCCACTGAGCTATCTAGAGCTCCCCCACACCCCTTTTTGAGATAGGGTCTCATGTAGCCCAGGCTGGCTTCAAACTCACAGATGGTTCTGAACTTCTAATCCTCCTGCCTCCATTTCCAAAGTGTCAGGGTCATAGGCACGAAGCACTACACTGACTGATCAATATATTTCAATCTTCAAAGTACTCAGGACCCAACAGATGTTTAGCATGTCACACCAGCTACCAAACCTGGCATAGATTGCATTTGAAGTAGAAGTGACAAAGCCATTTCCTTTTAACAAATGTATTTGTTCACTCCAATTTCCTTCAACGCAAACATATACTAATGACGTATTTTCTTGTTTTTCTTCAATCAGCAGTAGTGGAAGAAACTAATATGTAAGTTTATATGTAAATTTGTTCTAGTTAACATTTACTGTCAATGTGACACAGACTAGGGTCACCTGACAAGTGAGTCTCAGTTATCTTTATCAAGTTGTGTCTGTATCTGAGAGGGATTGTCTTGATTTTTAATTGATTCCAGAGGACCCTGCCCACTACAGGCAGAACCATTCCCTGGGCAGGTAGTCCTGGCCTATATATGGAAGCTAGTTGAGCTTGAGCCATTGCAAGCCATGAGGCAAGCAAAGCCATCAGGCAGCATTCTTCCATGGTACCTGCTCCAAGCTCATGCTTGAGTTCCTGCCCTGATTCCCCTCAGTGATGGCCTGGAAATGTAAGCTGAAATATACAACAACAGAAATGAAATGGGCTCCTTTCCCTCTAGCAGCATAACAGAACAGCATGTATCAGGATTTTTTCAATGACATTTGTCCCTCCTTAAAAATCACAGTATCCAACATAGTATCTGGAACAAAGGAAATTGTAATAAATGTTGAGACAGCAATAAAAGGTGTTGGGAGGATTCCCACCCTCGAGTGCCTAGACTAGAATCATAATCTGTTAGCTTCTTATTTAGATCAGGCAAGACTTTGTACAGGTATTTATGTGTACAGGTATTTTGCATGCATGTATGTCTGTACACTATGTGCATATAGTATCTGTGGAGTCCAAAAAGAGGGCTTTGGATCCCCTAGAACTGGAGTTACAGACGGTTATGAGCCACCATATGAATTCTGGGAATTTAACCCTGGTTCTCCAGAAGAGCAACCAGTGCTGTTAAGTGCTGAGCCATCTCTCCAGTTCCCAAACCAATGTTTTTCTTAAGGCTTTTCGCCTAAGAGATGCAGCCATGACCAAGACAGACACAACTGCTCCCACCATGGAGCTTAGGTTCTGGGTAGAATGGAATTGTGAACTGCATTTCTGATCTACTTAATTCAGCTGTGGCAAGCACCAAGAAGAGGGTGTTAGGCTAACCTGCTGAGTGTGTCAAGGGAGCCTTTAAGGAAGTAGGTCTATAGTCAGTCACATAAACGGTTAGCATGAATAAACCAGGCACAGAAGGCAGGAGAATGGCTTTAGGAATGAATATGGCATTTATTTATCTATCTATCTATTTATTTATTTATTTATTTTAGGTTTTTGAGACAGGGTTTCTCTGTGTAATTTTTCTAGCCTGAAACTAGCTCTGTATACCAAGCTGGCTTCCATCTGCCTGCCTCTGCTTCTGAGTGCTGGGATTAAAGGCGTGCCCCACCACCGCCCAGCTGAAAGTGGGCTTTAAACAAGTTTTCTTGTGGTTTATTTTAGTGCCTTTTAAAATTTTCAGAACCTGTCTGTTCACTTGTTACAGGAACAGGAGTCTGCAGAAGTTAATGAAGCAATAGTGGAGTAGGGGTGAGGGGTTGCTGGAAGGGAAATGTTCAAAGTTGATGTCACCACAGTCTGAGGACTCTGTCTTGAATACCTTGGGAAGCAGTGCTCTGAGCCTCTCACTGTGAGTGTGTGTGGTAGAGAAAAGATTTAAGACTTACCGCTGTCCATTTTTTTCTGTGTTCCAGAGCCAGTGTTACACTAAAAAGTGGCAACAGTCACAGCTTAAACTTAGATTTCAAAACTACCCAAAACTGTTTTGGCAGGATGTATCTGCTGTTGTTTTTTAAAAGCAAGCCAGAAACAAATGTTGTTGTTGGTTTTTTTTCTTTTAATTCAGGCTTCCTGGAAGGAACATTAATCATCGAATTCTTCCTACATGAAAATACCATACTGGGTAACTAATTAGGATTCGGGGAAATAAATTTTCTTTTAATTTTAAGAAACCATAGGTACCACAAATAGTCTTCATGTGTATGAAGAAGAATCTTTTCTCTGGGCCTCTAGTGTTTGCCAACTCTGAGGGAATGGCCAAACTCATGAGTCAGTCCTCTGAACCCTGCATGCCACCAAGGCACTCAGTTTGAAAAACAAGAGTGAATAAACTATTGACTCTCATTTGCCCCACCCCCACATTAGGGTGTGAACTAGCCCTCCCAGTGTTGTCCTGTCTGAGGTTTCCCTGGGCTTTTCACTCCCTGTGCTATATAGCTTTCCTTCCTCTGTCCGCCTCCAGGTTTTTAGGCTCCCTTGAGGTGTTTGGCCACTGCTGGCAACTCCAAGGTAAAGATGACGGTAATGAATCACCTGAGAGGGATTCTGCAAGCATCTCCATGGACATTGCTGTGGAGAAGGATCCAGGTTCCGAGGTCTTTGCCAGTGAGGTCCTGCAGTCTCTACACCTGCACTTACAGAACCCGGAACCGAGCCTGTGAGTACACCACTCCTTTAGGAGAGTGAAAAGGTTGGTTGCTAGTCACCTGTACAAACTTCAATGTGGGATTATACACTTTAATAACTGTGAACATGCTGGGTGATGGTGTACGCCTTTAATCTTAGCACTCAGGAAGCAGACACAGGTGTATCTCTGTGAGTTTGAGGCCAGCCTGGTCTACAGAGTGATTGCCAGGACAGCCAAGGCTACACAGAGAGACCCTGTCTCAAAAACAAAACAAAAAAATCTGTGAACATTACTGTAAAAACAGTAGACATCTGGAAAGTCCTTTTAGACCTGTTTTAGCATGCTCAAAGATGTCATGCTGAAAGTGGACTACAGCTATGAAAACTTTGAAATGTCTTGAAATCTGATATCTTATTGTTTCTTTTGACTAAGTTTGACGCACAGACTGCAAATTGTTGCAGTGGATCTTGCATTTATAGAATTTGCATATTAAGTCTTACAAGTGGGTCATTGTCTTCATGATCCAAACAAAATATTCCGTCTGGAGTCATAAATCCCAGAGTTAATCTAGCTGACCAGTTTGTAAGTGCTCTGCTGTAAACACGTGAGATCAAATGAGGCAGCAGATGGTCTTCTTTCAGTGCCCTGTGGCTCCCTTGGAGACACAAGTTATTGTCCACGTCATGGTGTTGCAGGAATTTTCCACCCTGGCATGGGTGGAGGGCTGTGGGGGATCATGTTTACTGCCTCGATCCTATTCGCAGCACTCCTCCTGAGTTATAGGAACCAAAAGTGTTTGTAGATATTTCCCGATGAGTTGAGATGAGGAGAAAGGATGGTGTGTACCTTTGCGTGTATGGGCAGATGAAGTAGCTACGTATAGCACTAAAGAAAAAATTTCCACTATCAGAAAAAAACAAAGCCTCACACAGACTTTTGAATGTTGTCCTGCATCGAGATCTAGGTTTCTCAATAACTGTGTACGTATATAATTAAAAGATGGGTAAAAAAGAAAATGCTTGCCAGTGATGGTGCTAATCTAGCTTAGGGCCAGGATTCTGAAACTGCTCCTGTCTTAACTGTAAGTTCCCTTACTTGCCTTTAGCACTGGGTGTCTTCTTATTAAAAGAAATTGGCCTGAGTCATAAGAAATTTCTGGTTGCTGGGTGTGGCTTCCTACAAGCTTGCCCACATCCTATCCAGACTGGCTTGCTATGAATTCTGGTACTTTGTGGTCTAAGGCCTAAAATGGAAAAAATTAGTCATATTGATCCAGCTACTAAACTTTTCCTCTTTTAGGTTTTAGCAGAAGATTGAAAGTTAAACATCTAAAATCTTGTCTGCTGTGTCTTTAGGACAGTTTGCTTTAGACAGTAGTGGCAGAGAAGGTCATGGTCCCTTGATTAATCTCTCAAATATTAAGACATGTTCTTGGGTCTAAGTTGGTGGAGAAAATAGGGCACAGTTTCCATTTATGTGACTCTTGGCATACAACACTGTCCCCGACCTTTTTTCAGGCAGGGGAATATTATAGCCTTTGTTGTGCCAGTGAGCATATTTCCTCTTCTGCCAGCCCATCCTTCCTCTGCTTAGTTGTAAAGACAATACATATTATTTTTGACAACTCAGTAACCCAACAGAAGGCCAGCTACTCTGAGACCAGAAGGACTTGAGGTTGTCAGAGGTTAGAAATTCATTTCTGGCAGCTCCTTTAATATCATGATCATTCTTTTAAAAGATTTATTCATTTTATTTTGTGTGGTTTTGCCTGCATGTATGTTTGTGCACCACATGAATATTTGCGAGTGCTTTTGGAGGTGAGAAGAACTCAGATCTGCTGGAACCAGAGTTACAGATGGTTGTGAACCACCATGTGGGTGCTGGGAACCAAACCCAGGTCATCTGCAAGAGCACCATGAGCCACCTCTGTAGACCCCATCAGGGTCATTCTTATCTTCCTCATCTTTGTCATCATCATAGGTTCAGGGTTTGTCTCAAGTGTTCAAATCTGACCATTTTGTTTGTCTGGTCTTATGTAGCCCAGGCTGACTTCCAACTCACTATGTAGCCCAGGATGGCCTTAAAATCTTGATCTTCTTCCTGCCTTAGTCACTGGGAGTGCCAATATTCTACACCCTGCTTCAAATCTGGCCATTTTAAGGGAACGTAAAGCAGAAGGAGGAATAAAGGAAGTAGGATATTGTGGCAGATTCAGAGTTATTGGCTCATTGCCTTCTACCTTTTTTCTCTGTTCAGTAATCATGAGTTGTCTATTCAAATTACTGTTTGCTGTTTTCCCAAGATGCGGTCAGTAACTCTCGGGAACTTAATAAACTGTATGTCCATTATCAGAAATGAAAATAAAATCAGTTTCACTCAGAGTACCATTTAGCCTAATTGTTACATTAAAACATTAGGAAAATGAGTTTGATGATTTAGTAACTTTTATTTTAATGAAAGGTATAAAGAAGATGATGGAGAATAAAAAATGGTACAAATTTGTTATTAGATTAATGATGCTTAACATTCTTGATCTTCCTAAAGTTATTTGTTTTTTAAAACAGAGTTTCATGTAGCCGAGGCTGGCCTCAAAATTGCATTGTAGCTAAGGCTGCCCTTAAACTTCTGATTCTCTTGTCTTCATTTCTTTAGTACTGGAATTGCAGCTGTATATTACCACATCTGGCTTTTTTTAATAAGGAAGAGAAACATTGGAAGTATTGATCTGCACTATGTAAAATACAGCCACTAAAAACATAATATGAAACTACAAAGAGAAAGATAAATAAAAGACAAAAAGGGAAAGGAAAAAATGTAGTCACTAGTCTCATGTATTTACATGTCAATTTAAATCCATTAATATTTTTTAACCATGTGTGCCTAATAGTTACCACACTGGAAGTTTCCATCTTCAGAAGAAATTCTACTGAATATTCCTGTATGGAATTTTTACAACATTGTTTTATTATTTCCCTATTTAATTCTGAAGAACACAAGGCCTGGATAACAACATTTATGAAGCTTGCTTAGGGGGCTGGAGAGACTGCTCAGCAGTTAAGAGTTCTTGCTGCTCTTGCAGAGAACTAGCACCTATGTTGGGTAGCTCATTTCTACCTATAACTCCAGCTCCAGAGGACCTGACACCCTCTTCTGGTCTGCACAGGCACACACACACACACACACACACACACACACACACACACACACACACACACACACAGCCTATACATGTCAGACATAGATATGGACACATGGATAAAAATAAACAAATAAATAAGTAAATCTGAGAGGGGCTATTTAGGTGATTCTCCTTTAAGATGTTCATACCTACACTTGGGAACGTCTTATTCTTTCCTTGTTTATTTTTCTGTACTTATAAACCTATGTTAAATCCGGAGTAGTAGTACATACCTTTAATTCCAGCACTTCGGAGGCAGAGACATCCAATCTCTAGGAGTTCAAGGCCAACTTGGTGTACGTAGTAAGTTCTGTGATAGCCAGGGCCACATAGTGACACCTTGACTCAAGAAAACAAAATGATGTTTAAAATGTCTCTTAAGAAACTTCAGTTGTGTTAAAAATTTTTGTGTAGCTGGGCATGGTGAATGGTGGCCAACACTGTTTATTGTAATCCCGGCAGCAACAAAAAACATAATTAAATAGACAAAAATAAATTAATGAACATATTTAAGACATTTTTTTCATTTTCTTTTTACTATTTTTATTTATGTGTACATGTGTATGTGTGCCATGTATGTGGGTGTCCTTTGAGGCCAAAAGGGAATCAGATCTGGTGAAGCTGGAGTTACAGGTGGTTGTGAGTTTCCAGATGTTGGTGCCAGGAACCCTACTTGTGCCTTGTGCAAGAATAGCAAGTGCACTTAACTATGGAGCCATCTCTCCAGCCCATTTAAAAGTATTTTAAAAGTTTGGCATAATGGCTCACACTTGTCATTTTAACACAAGCATTCAGAAATCTAAAGCAGGAGGATTATGGATCCAGGCCAGCCTGAGTTACATAGTGAGACCCTGTCTCAAAAACAGACCAAGCAAAAATCCATTGATAACTCCTGGGTGACATAGGCTCTGGATGCTTCAAACTGGAATTGAGATTGAGAGCTCCTTGGAATCTCTTGGTGATCTTGGGTTATCTTCAGCTCCCTAGGACTAACGAACGCCCTGGAGTTAAGCACGGGAAATGCAGGCTTTATTCCCTGTGATGACTGGTAATGGCATGGGATTCCACTGCTTAGTCACAACAACATCAGGCAACCTGTGCTTCTATGACGGTCAGAAATGCCTTAAGGAGAGCCCGTGTATCTCAGCATTGGGCCAAAGCCTACAAAGATGGTCTCTGGCTCTGTAGGAAAAGCACAGCCCTCAAGACAAAGACAATCTAGAAAGCCAGTGAGGATGGAGAGCAGTGCTGTCCGGCAGGTGGGGGATAAGCCACAGTGGTCATTCTTACTTTCCTAGTGGATTAGGAAAGGGAAACTAATTAATTTTTGTGATATATCCTATTTAATCTGGCATATTCTGGATGTTGATGTCTTTAACATGTAATTACTGTAAGAATTATTCATAGATGGTGCTACATGTAATTACTGTAAGAATTATTCATAAATTGTGTTATTCAATAGATGTGCAACATGAGTCACAAATATGAGCCATATAGGTAATTCTGTGTTTTCAAATTCTTCATTTTTTAAAGTACAAATAAAAGCTAGAGAGATGGGCCATCGGTTAAGAGCATTGGCCGTGTGCTCTTCTAGAGGGTCTAGGTTCAATTCCCAGTACCAATGCTGGGGCACACAACTGTCTATAACTCTAATCTCAGGGCATCTAACATTTTCTTCTGGGCTCTGCAGGCTGCATGCATGCACGTGGTACACAGACATATATGTAAGCAAACAGACACATATGGAGAATATACACATATTCCCATATTCCACATATGGGAATGCACCAATATACATTCAGTAAATAAACAATAAATAATAATTTAACAGTTCAAATAAACAAATAAGTTA